GCGCGGTGAGGACGCCGCCCTCGACGCCTCACCGGTTGCGTAAGGCCTGGCACTCACCTCCCTGGTGTCCCCCCCCTCCACCCGCCTTTGCCCGGTCTTTTCCAGATGCCGGCTACGAGTTCGACATTTGCTTCACCTCGGTACAGAAACGAGCCATCCGCACCCTCTGGACCGTCCTGGATGCCATCGATCAGATGTGGTTACCTGTTATCCGGACCTGGCGCCTGAACGAGAGGCACTACGGGGCTCTTACTGGTTTGAACAAGGCCGAGACGGCGGCGAAGCACGGTGAGGCGCAGGTGAAGATCTGGAGGCGCTCGTATGACATCCCTCCGCCTCCCATGCAGTCTGATCACCCCTTCTACAGCACCATCAGCAAGGTAAGACCCGTTGCTCTTCGTCCACCTTGCTGAGAGGCTCCTAAAAGCCACCTTAGGTCCCTGCAGCATGGTCTGGCTTCCTCCTCTGTCTTCATTGTAGTAGCCAGAACTGCTGTGCACAGTGCTGGCTGGTGTTTGGCTGAATTTGTCCCGCTCCCTCCCTAGGGAGGTTGAACCCCTGGGTGTTGCACAGACGGATTCAAAGCAGAGGGAACATTACCTCTGTTAATTATTAGTCCTGTGACCCGTGCACGGATGTTTGCTCTGGTCTCTTTGCCCAGAGCAAGTGATGTGCAGCTTTCCCTAGGAGGGGCTCAGAGCCCTGAGGTTTGAGCGCAACCTCAAACCTCAGAGGTGCTTTCTTGCTTCCAAGTCTGGCTTTGCCTATGTGTAGCAGGTCCCCAGGCAGAGAATTTTTAGTGGGGGGATGAAGGCTTTTCTGCCACCTTCCCACACTGCGTTGGGTTGCTGTACAAGCATGGCCGTTCCCCCAGGACCGTCGCTACGCTGACCTGACAGAGGACCAGCTGCCAACATGTGAGAGCCTGAAGGACACCATTGCCCGGGCTCTGCCTTTCTGGAATGAGGAAATTGTCCCGCAGATCAAAGAGGGAAAGCGAGTCCTTATTGCTGCCCATGGCAATAGCCTGCGTGGGATTGTCAAACACCTGGAAGGTACGTCAGCCCTGCAGGGTGTCGCAGGGGTTTCCCCACTGCCCCGGCTGGCACTGTGTGAGCAGGGCCATGAGTGACAGTGCCTCTGTTCACAGGCATGTCAGAAGAGGCCATCATGGAGCTGAACCTGCCCACTGGCATCCCTATTGTCTACGAGCTGGACAAGAACCTGAAACCCGTCAAGCCTATGCAGTTCCTGGGAGATGAGGAGACGGTGCGCAAGGCCATGGAGGCTGTCGCTGCTCAGGGCAAGGTCAAGAAGTGAGGGCGGGCAGCGGGCTAGCACGCAGTAGATGAATCCCCCGCCATCCCCCACCCCTCTGTGCACACCCCCCACAGCCGTAGGAACTTGAAGATGTGGAGCTGGAGCAGCTCCCCAGGATTAGGCCCGTTCCCTCAGGACCAGGCTCCCCTCTGTAGACAGCCCGGGGACCCAGGGGAAGAGGCTGTGCATGTAGACGTGTGGCGTGAAAGGGAGCCCTGGCTCTGCCAGGCAGCAACTGCACACCTCTCCATGCCAGAATCCCAGCCCTTGGGCCCTGTCTGCAGGGGGATGTGCTGAGCGATCCCTCACTGTGCCAGGCTCTTCTGCTTTGCTTCCCTGGCAGCTCTCGTCACTCGGTTACTGTTGTTTTGTTGCTTGATTTAGTCATCCCGGGAGCAGCGGGGCGAGCGCAGCGCAGGCAGTGACCAAGATGGGTACTCCATCCCCTCGTGGGTGTGTGGCACAAGGACTGGGATGTGTAGACACTGAAAGAGTTGTATTTTGATGCATGTGGTACTTGTGTCTCTGGGCCTAGCTCTGCCAGCCCCTGCTTTAACTTATTGCCTTTAGATAAAGGTGAGGGAGGGAGCCTGTTGTCTGGAGGTTCGTGTCCACCACATACTTCCCCCAGCTGAAGCCCATCCTAGTCCTGCTGGTGAAGCAGGTGCCATTGTGCCCCCTCCCACGTGTGTGTATGTGGCCGTGTCGCTGTGGCCTCCCCCTCTGCCGCGAGCCTGGACTTGTACGGGGTCAGTGTAACTGTCCCGACAATAGCAGCTGTCTCGTTCCGGTTCAATAAAATTAACGCGCAATAACGAGGTGTCCGTGCCTTCCTCTGCCATGTGCTCCTGGGCGCGTGGGGCCACCTGCCTCGCCCAGCACCTCCCTGGGGCTCCTGTCACGCGTACATGAGGCAGCGATGGCTGCTGGGCGCAGGTGCAGAAGGCACACGAGGCTCGGGAGAGCATAGCACAGCTCCGCAATCCCTGCTGGAGAGGGCAAGGCCCTGCTGATCAGTGGTTTACTGGCTCTAGGTGTGGCACGCCTTTGTCCCCAGAGGAAGGCAGGGCACGTGTGGCTGGAGGAGATTCGGAGCCCCGAGGTTGAGTCGCAGCCCGTACGGGTTATCAGTGCAGGGGCAGGGAGACAAGGCGTTCTTCGTGCTTGACACCCATGCGGGGAAACCAACCCAGCGAGGCAAGCACCTGGAGCCAATGCCACCCAGCCGCAAACTGGAGCGCTCTGCTGTTCGCCTCGCTGTGGTAAAGCTGTTGGGTTGTTTTGTTTTCCCCTTCCCCGGCAGACGGCTGGGAATGCGTGCTTCCTCCCAGCCACAGCACTGGGAAAGCTGTCCCCTAACAGCTCCGATATGGGAAGCGGGCTGCAGGCAGCCCCGGCCACCCCCCTGGGCTGTAACTGAGCAGATATGGAGCTCTCCAAAAATATTTATTATCTACAAATAGAAAATCCATCCTGTGAGTGAGGGCCTGCCTGGCTGTTCCAGCCTTTTGCATGTGTGGAGGAGGCTGGAGCCCAGGGGCTGCTCTGGCCCCACAGACCCCAGTGGTGGTCCCTGCAGCTCCTCAGGGGCCGCTAGGTCTGCAGGAACTGGGGCTGCACGCGGGCCACCTTACGGAAGTCCTTGGTGTGTGTCTGCGGGCACTGCATCTCGCACCAGCTGATGGGCACCATCTGCACACCTAGCGACACCACATGTCAGGGGTTCCCCCTTCCCAGAATCGCATTCCTCCATGTGGAAAGGGAGGAGGCTGCATCAGCTGCCCCTCAGGCAGGGATGAGGCAGAACTGCCCGAGCCCAGGCCTTGCGGCCCATCCCTACCTGCCTCGCCGCGTGCCACCACCACGCCCAGCTCGTTCTCTGCCGTGCTCAGCAGGTAGTTGGACTGCGCGTCCCCCAGCGAGATCTGGTTGGGCAGGGGTTAAGGGAAAGGCCTTCCTGAGGGGACTCAAGCAAACCCACTGTCCGCGGTGGGCCCTCCCAGCACGAGGGGAAAGGATACAACCTTGGCCAGGACTATGTCACCAGGGCGGAAACTCTTGTACACTTCTACCTGCGCAGGAGACAGCAGGCAAAACCGCTCAGCATGTCCGGGTGCTCATCAGCGGTGGGACAAGTGCCCCCCACCAGCAGAAAGAAGGAGTGGGGGTGGCTGCAGTAGCAGAGTCACTGGCAAAGCCTCACTGACCTTATCTTTCTCCGTGGCTCGAATATCTTCTCTCCTGAAAAAGGAGACGGAGGGATCTGAATGCCAGTGAGTGAAGGCGACTCTCCAGCTTGCAGCAGGAGCTGCCCTGGCCTCCCTGGGTGCTCGCCAGGACTTACTGGACACCTGCCCGGTGCTCAGGGCAGAGCTACTGCCAGGGCAGCCGGCTGCGCCGCCCAGAAATGCCTTCCTCCCCCCTTGAGGACAGGGCGCTCGGGCACCCCATCCCACAGGGAACCCAGCCATCTCCCTACCGTATGGTCCCCCGGAAGGTGGACTTCAGTGGCGTGGAGCCGACATACAGGATGTGCACCTTGGCAAAGCGGGAGTTAATGCTGCAAACCTGCCCGGAGGAAAAAAGGAATCTGGGCCTGCTCTCACCCCAAGCGCACCCTGCTCCGGGCAGGGAAAGGGCAGGGTGCGGGCAGGACAGGGCTGCGTGCGGCGAGCTCATGTCTCACTCTGCCTTCGCCTCCTGTGACCGAAGTAGCAGCGGTGCAGGTGGGACACCAAAGCCAGGAAGATGATACTTGTGCAACTCAAGACACATGAATAAGGCCGAGACCTTCTGTGACCCCAGTCCCTCTCCCACCATCACAGATGGTGCCTAATTCCTGCTCTGTGCCACCCTTCCTCCAAGCTGCCCCAGGCACTGCCCTCCACACACCCTGCCCCAGAAAAAGTTCTGGAAGCTCCCTTTGGCCCACCTCAGCCTTGGGGCAGGCAGCAAGGGCAGGGAACGTCAGGAGGCAGGTGTCCCCCGTGCCAATATCTGGCCTCTTTATGAGCAAAGGGCCCGAGGGAGCTACCAGGCTGCCTCTG